ATCATGACTACAGAAGAACTGTAGAATGTCATTGTTAACAATGAAGAAATTGAAATTGTGAAAGATTTTACATACCTTGGCTCGGACATCAATTCAAAGGAAGACTGCAGCCAAGAAATTAGAAGCAGACCAAGACTTAGAAGAGCAGCAATGAAGGAACTAGAAAAGATCATCAAGTGTCATTGATCATTTCATTTCACCAGAGACCAAAATCATTCACACTATATGCATTCCCAATCACAGTCTCTGCGTGTGAAAGCTGGACAGTGAGGAAAGCCAACAGGAAGAAAATGTATGCGTTTGAAACTTGGTGATGGAGAAGAGCTTTGTGAATACCCTGGTTGGGACAAGAAGACAAACAAGTGCGTCCTAGATCAAATCAAGCCAGAACTTTTCCTATAAGCAAAAATGACAAAGCAAAAACTCTCATATTTCATACCTTTAATACCACTATTTCAATTTCTGCTTACAATGTGGCTAGTATTAGCAAAGAATGTTCAATGTGTCAAAAAAGTTAATGTTTACCCCATACCCAAGACAAATGTCTCCTAATGAAGGAGGAGCCAGAGAACTGTGCATTGTCCTAATTAGTGCAAATTTGGCAGAGTGGATAGCAAATGTAAATGTGGCCTTTAAAATGTCTTACTTTCCTCTAATTCATTAAATACATTACAGTCTGTTCTATGAAGATGGTCCCTATGTGCACTGACTTCAAAGAATCAGTGTCAACATCTCTAGCTGAGGTATGAATATGTAGGAGGGAACACTCCTTTCCCTTTTTATGCACTTCTTGAAGCAAAGAAGAAACCATCTGCATCCACTCTCTTCCATTAGGAAAAGGCTGCAGTAAAAGGTCTTGAGATACCTTTTTACGCAGTACTATTAAGGCTGTTGTACTTATGCCCCACAGAGATCCAAATCCTATATGCTGCTCATAATGAAGAAGAGTTATAAACTTTCTAAACTTTCTTCACCGTCATAAGGGCTAGAAACTTACACCTTTTTTCGCATGAATGCACAACTTCTCAGGATTCTGCATTTTGCACACAAAAGAAAATTATCTGCCTTGGATTCTTACATTAAATGCAGATCTGCCAATAATATTCTAAATTTCTTTTGCAGACAGCCACCCTATTAGAACTTTAGTCCATTTATTATAATGAGAGAATGGGTTTTATTTGTCAAGCAAGTCAAGTTTCAAATTTATATAAATGAATGGCAACAAACAAATGGATGCACTAAAGTAATGGAAACAACATGCAAATGCATCCATAAAAACTAAAAAGATTTATGAAATGTAATATTTAAATATTAAAAATTGGATACAGCTAGAAGAACAATGACAGAGTGCAGAAGGACACAACCCACTGGGGAGCTTTGCACACAGATGTGCATTGCTTTCTTTTGCAGCTACAGCAATTTCAAGCCCTGTTTAATTTCCTGGTGGATCATGTATACCACAATCATCAGTACACTCCTCTGTCCTAAGATAAGCTCTTCTATGGCTAGATACAGGATCTGCCTTCTGCTGGAGAGAGGGACCTTTTGCAAGAAGAGTTCCAGAAAGTCCCTCCATCTGTTTTTGGGAGATTATTTTCCCTGCTGCCCACCTGATTCTGCAGCATCTCCTGACTCTGCATAGGATTTTTAGGGTGGTGAACTAGCTACTATGTGAAGGAGAGGGCAGGAAAGTCCACTTCCATCATTGCAGCTTGGTCCAGTGTAAATCTGGATCCAATTCTACATGAGAATCCCAATTTAAACAATTCTAGCAAAATATCTTTCAGGTTACTGCATGAAATCAAGACACACTAAGGTACACCTCAGGAAAAAATACCCAAAGGTGATGCAAATACTCTTAGGGTTTAAGCAAACACACTGCTTCACACATACAGGTGAGGAGCAGCACGCCTTCTAAAAGTTTCCTTCCTGACCATTAGCCTAGTGATCAATTTGTCTCTCTGTCACAATATGTTCATTATGGCAGTCACAATTTTGCTGTGGTCATCTCCAATACCACACAGAAAGACAGATCAAATCACCAAAGGTTAAAGTACTCTTTCTACCATATGCTGAATGCTATGTAATATGGTAGCACTTTTTCCCTCTCTCATTTCATTATTTCCTGCTTCTCAAAACAAAGAGCCATATTTATCATACCAAAATGGAGCTGCCCCACCTAGTGAAGTGCTGCCAAGGCTTTAACAACAACAGGCTTTCACATAAATATTCCCCTGTGGCCTGTGATGCATACAGCTGTATTTTTAAAATCAGTTGTGTTGTAGGCTTCTCGACCTCGGAGAGTTTCTAAATTGCTTTACAGCATGGGATATTACCTTTCCTACTCATTTATGAGGTAGCATATTATCAAAAAGCTTGTACCATATTGTTTGCCATCATTCCCTTCTCTCACCGGCTCATGATTTCAATGACAATTTACCTATGTTTTCCCATCTTCCTGATATTGCTTATCTCATGAGCAACTTTTGCGTCGAGCCATTTCTGCAGGCTTTCTCCTTTTGCAACTTCCCAATTTTAATGCAAAAAACACAGTTCACTCTATTTTCCCTCTTGTTTTCTGCCACACAGATAACTCACTTCTCTACACACCCTCTTCATTCACAGGAAGCTGCCTCATGCCAAGGGAAACCACTCGTTCACCCAGCCCCATACTGTTGCCAATGACTGGTGGCCACTGCCAAGGGTTTCAGAAAAGATTCTGAAAAGATATGGATGCCAGAAATTTAATCTGGACCCTTCTGCATGCAAAACATGTGCTTCAACTCTGAGCTACAGTCACTCAAGATAAACTAACTGCTGAACCACTGCAGGGTGGCCCTGGACATATTGCCCTCTTTGCTTCAGTTCTTCTGTGATGACAGAAAGCAAAACAAACTAGGCTTTCCATGCAAATCCACAGCAAATAAATTCGAGTGAGGGAAGCATGTTCCACATGTAAGTATTGTAATTTAAAAGCTGGAACTATTTTTACATGAACTTCCTCTGTTCTGTAGTTAATATCAGCATGAGCTTTCCAAGCAACAGTGTTCTTAAAAAAGCATCTTCAAGTGATATTTTCCAAGAAAATTGATATGAAACCATGTACTATTTGAGTACTGAAGTATTCCCATTGTGGATTTTCTATTAGGTGATCTAGTTGAACAACCACCAAAATAATTACTACGTATTAATTTTAGAGACAATATCTTTTGCAAGTCTAACAAAGGAAGACATAACAGAATTTTCTATACCAAATCACTCCATATTTCTCCAGAGACCTATTATCAACAACACTAAATTCAGGTATTGGTTGAAAGATTAAAATCTAATAAACAAAGTCTATACAAATGTACCCTTCAGATCCATTTGAAACTGATTTGACCCAGTGATCCTTAATGATTTCACACTATTTGAATTGCTTCATAGCTAGCTACCCTATGGTATCATTTTTCTTTTCAACACCTCAAGATTCACAAGTCAAGCACATCCTCATTAAGTGGCCTGATCTGCAACATCAGCCTGGAGAAATTAACTTATTTAATATAAAGTGCCCCACCAAAGTTGCTGAGTCTGGTAGACAGTTTGTGCAAACCTAGAAGCATTATATAGAAATAGATAAAGCTTCACCCAAGAGAAGTTGAAATAGGGAATTGCTGAAATGAAATTGTCATTTCTAAGGAATCTGACAAAGTCTTTACAAACTTCTGAACAAAACAAGTGTAACCTACCACTAACAAGCTCTTCCATTCTGTCAGCACATTAGCTTTTCAGATGCTAATGGTTCTCAAGCAAGAAGTAGGAATGAGCAAGAGAGGAACATAAGAATATAAATAAGCCATAAGACCAATGGTGTACCTACTCCAACATGCTGTTTACACAGTGGCAAACCAGCTGCTCACAGGATCCTTCAAGCAGGATGGGTACAAGAGTTTTGCCAGCCAAAGCTCCTCAGCAACTGGTATATGCACACATACTGCCACTGATACTGAAGTTAGAATGCAGTCCACAAAGCAGGGTGGATTTGATTTAAATCATGATTTAAATCACTAATCAGTAAGACTAGGTTTAAATCATGGTTTTCTACATTATTTGCACACATGACTGCCTTACCTGTAGGTAGAGGAATTTCATTAAAATATTCCCAAACTTGGGCCTCTTTTACAGGCAGCTGCCATTCTAGGTTTTCTCCTCCAGGGAAAGAATAATAGGATAAACCTCAAGCTATACACAAAGTCATCCTAAGACCTGTGGGGTGTTCTGCTCAAAAAATTCCACTTTCATTTTTACTGCTTGCTCCTCCCTGCTCACACTTAGCTTCTTCTGCAGATCTATTCCATTTCCAATGATCTTCTTTTTTTCCAACAATCTTTAATTTTTTGAGACTTGGCAATTAAGAGGTAAGGAGTTGATTCTGTATACATAGATTTGCAAAGTTTATTTTATAACATTTTTGCTGCAAAGAAAAGGCATGTAATCTCTGCAGACACAAATTCAGTTTTGAGGGCTGTAAAACCAAGTATCTGTGATAGTATCTTCTAGATAGAAAAAGTGCCCAATAATCTTACAGAAACCACTAGAAGAGCATGGCATTATTAATGGATTAACAGAATTACTAAAGAAATTAAACACTGCATGACTATATAGTCTCATGCTACATAATTAAAAACTAATCCTTATTTCATGATGAATAACCTTTGGACTATATTGTATCTAAAAAAGAACATGATCTTTTTTCTGAAAAAATCTAATTTTAAAAAATACAATTTAAATTAAAAAATCTGATTTATTTTTAATCATTGATTTATATACACTCTGCCACAAAGCTAGTAGACATTGATAGTGTCCACCTCCATGATTTAGGCCAATGCCCTTTTAAAGTCATTCAAATGGATGACCATCTCAACTTTCTGTGGCAGTGAATTCCACAAACCATATCTTTCCATACTTTCTCCACACCATGTGTAATTTTAAACACCTCTATCATGCCTCCCCTTACTCACCCTTTTTTTAAGCTAAACAATCTCAAATGTTGTGACCATTCATCATGGGAGAGTTGCTCCAACTCCTTGTTCATTTTAGTTGTCCTTCTCTGCACGTTATCCAACTCAGTAATGTCCTTTGTCAGGTGCAGCAACCAGAACTGCACACAATATTCTAAGTGCAACCAACCAAAGATCTCTATAAGGGGAATACAATCTTGAGAGTTTTATTTTCAATTAATTTCATAATTATACCTAATATAATTTTTTTCGTTCCACTTAACATTGAGTTTGCCTTTTTCACAACAGCTGCCTGCTGGGCCAACATATTCATGGAGCTTCTACCACAACCCCAACATCCCTCTCATCAGTCACTGCTAGCTCAGCCTATACATGAAGGTAGGATTCTTTGCCTCCACATGCATTATCTTGAACTTACTTACCCTAAACTGCATTTACCATTTTGACGCTCATTCTGCAAGCATTGAGAGTTCCCTTTGAAGCTCCTCACAATCCCTTTTTGTTTTAACCACCCTAAATAGTTTAGTGTCATCAGCAAACCTGGCTAAATTCACTGATCACAAATTCCAGATCATTTATGAATAGTCTGAAAAGCACTGTTCTTCATCCCAAACCTAACCCAATGGGACTATATTGTTTACACCCATCCATTGGGAGAAATGACAATATATTCTTGGTAAATTACCATTTATTCTTACTACCTGCTTTCTCTTCTTTAACCAGTTACTGATCCATTAGAGGACACTCTCCTGCTAAGTTTGTTCAGGAGTCCTTGATGAGGAATTTTGTCAAAAGCCCTTTGGAAGTCCAAGTAAATAATGTCTACAGGATAGCCTTTGTTGACATGCTTATTGACAATTGACAACTTCAGTAGGTTAGTGAGACAGGACTTACCTTTGAGGAGATCATGTTGAAGTTTTCATCAGAGTGTTCCTCCATGTGCATTAAGAGAAATGGCATGTAATTACCCCAGATCCCCCAAAATCCCTTTCTAAAAATTAGTATTATGTTGTCCATTCTCCAGTCTCTAGTACAAAGGCTGATCTTAGGGACATATATGTTTCTGTAAGAAAGTCAGCAGTTTATATCCAGAGATTACCCAATCTCATTAGTTCTCTCCACTCCACCAGGTTTCTGTAATGCCCACTGTATCTAGTTTCTCCTTTTAAACCAATCACTCCAGACAACAGACAATGGGTAGATAATCTGTGAAGGGTCCTGATTTGGAAGGCTGTGTTCTTTTGTGCATGATTTAAATCTAAGTAATACCTTGGACTCTCAAACTTAGGATTCCTCCATTTCTAAGCCTCAGTTTGTGAGCTTCTCTATAGCTCTAAAAACTGTATTTAAACCCAGGGAAGAAAAAGCCTATACTGTCAAGAGCACTGTGCAGGCCTAGGTAGTGGAAAAGACTACTTATAAACAAAAAGCCAGGGCCAGCTTCAGTTTGTGCCCAGTATAGACTCAGGATTCTCTGCTTGAGCAAAGCTGCAGGAGGCAGAGGTTCCTGCTGGATTTCCCTTTGGGATTTAGCTGGTGTTTCTTTCCTCCTCATTTCTAAGCCTGGATTTGGAGTAAATATGAACTCCCTGCCTGAGCAAGGCTGCAGGAAGTATAAGCTCCTGCTGGGTTTCCCCATTAGTATTTAGCTCCCAATATTACGTTTGCAAGGGGTTACCCTTCTGGGATTTTACTCTTGTCCTGGATTCAGTTAATAATCTATGAGCTAATAGTCTATGTGTGTCAAGATCACTAATTGTTGGATCTCTAGTGACTTAACGAGTGCATATATTGACACAGTGTGTAGAGGAAGCTCAGGCTAGTACATCTTGGCATGCAGTTTGTGCTATTTAAAATGTGACTGCACATACTATGCGGGCAGGGTGTACACACACATTCAATCACATACAGCATTCTGAATAGGGCAAGTTGGGACATGCACAAACCCAAGACTGCATGCTGAAACCTACTGTGTGCAGTTTTTACACACTGAGCAACTGTGTGAAATGGCCTCCTGCATTCTAGCCTGGCCACTGCAAGGAGTGGCCAGGAATATTAGAAGCATCTTGGAGGTGGGGGAAGTTTACTCTCCTTGAGTTTACTTTCCCGAGGGCAAAGAACTCTGAGGATCAACAATCTATGCCAGATTTTCCTGACCTGATGCACTCCAGATGTGTTGGACTGCAACTCCCATAACTCCTACAGCCAACCTGGGAGTTGCAGTGAGACCTATCTGGAGGGCAGGGCACCAGGCTGTGGAAAGCTGCTCCACTACACCCTTTTCAGTGTGTGAACCAGCAAAGAGACTGTGAAGGCTGAAGAGCAGGCCTGGTCTTGAGTGATAGGACAAACAGAGGAAAACCCTCAAACCCTCGTAGACAAATGAGCCTCAAGATTACAACTCAGCATAGCATAAATGTAAGTTGCATTTTTACATTCCCTCTCTCCGCCCCGTCCTCCATCAATTTTTGTTCATTCATTCATTGAGGGCAAATGACTTAGCTAAAGGACACATGACAGGTAAAGGACAAAAAAGAAGCAAGTAATTTACATAAGGACTGCATATGCTAATTTATATGCGTAGATGCAAATAAGGATACAATGCCTATAAATTAAATAGCATTGCAATACATATCACCATAAGAAGAAGACTGGATAGCCCATCACACAGAGGACTGTCTTCTCTGAAGTAAGTCACAACCCTATACACATCTGTGGCTGTTTTCTGCTTCCTGCTTCCACACTGGAATACTTTTATAGACAAATAGGGAGGATTGACACATCATGCTAACCCATCCTGCCAGCAAGCTACAGTGGGCTGGTTGTTACACAGACAATCCACAACATTCCTGACAAATCAGGTTTGCGTGGGTTGTTCCTTAATTCTTTCCCCTCAGTCTTCCAACCCATACCCCACAGGACTCGGTGCAAAGCTGCCTTTCCCTGCCATGATTATAAGTCCCTTTTCCACTTACTGCAATTCTGCCTTTCTTCTTTTATTTTCTGAAATTGCAAACAGCACATAACAATCTCTGAATTGGTAGCCAGTGTCAGACCATCCAAAGTACCCAAAGGACACAGAAGTATACATATGAAATCTGTATATTCCCTCTGCCCAAACTTTCTAGTCATGGCTAAACCCCTATTTTCAAAGAAACTCCTACCTGTGGGAATAGGTAGCAAAGCAGGGAGGATGCAATTTGCACCTTCACAAGCACTTAGAATCTCAGGAATGCATGGAAAAATTGGAGCCACTGAATGGACATGGAGAAATCTGAGGACCTTGCTGTGAAGTGAAGTGGAAATGTCACTTACCCACTTTCATGAGCAAACATCATTTCAGACAGTGATGAGCAAAAAAAAGGGGGGGGGTGCCAAGCCACTGACAATCACCACAGAGAACCACTTGGGCATTTATGAGGGAACCCAGGTGGTGACCCAGGTGAGTTTGGCAAGGGTAGCAAATATTGTTCCCCTCTTGTTGATTTCTTTGCTGATTGCTTCCTGATGCACATGGTGGGATCCATCCCACAGGTCCGAATGAGCTGTCAAGATCTTTGCTCTTCTCTCTTCTCATTCTTAGGTTTGAAGATGTGGACAAGGTGCTTGGTCAAGTTTGACCTACAACCTGTTTGCCTTTCTTGGCTAATTGAGAGATCTGAGGGGATTCTTACCTGGATTCAGGTAGTGAATGCCTCTTTGATAGAGGGAATGGTGCCAGCCCCTTTAAAAGTCACTGTGATTACATGACTCCTGAAAAAGCCAAACCTGGATCCAGAAGATATAAATAATTATTGACCTATAGCCAACATTGCCTTCCTGGGCAAGGTGTTCGAGCAGGTTGTGGCTGGGCAGCTCCAGGCACTCTTGGATTATCTGGATTAGCGAATTATCTGGATCCATTTCAATTGGACATTAGGCATGGTTTTAGAATGGAAACTGCCTTGGTTGCCCTATGGGATGACCTTTGCCAGGAGAGAGAAAGGAGGAGTGTGAGCTTGTTCATTCTCCTGAAACTTTCAGTGGCTTTTCAGTGGCTTTTGATGTCATCAACCATCATATCCTTCTGGAGAGGTTAGCTATGTTAGCAGTTGGTGGCACTACATTGTAATAACTCTGCTCCTACCTGGAGGACCATCTGCTCTCCCTCCTCCACTTCTTGGACCCCTCCCATCTCTGGTCTCTTCGTCAGCCTGCAAACCTGTTGGCAGTGACACTGAGGACATGTCAAAGGCCTCTCTCTCCCCCTGAGTTTCCAAAATACCAAGTCTTCAAGGTCTTCTTCGGAATCTAAGGCATAATAACTCTGGGATGCCTGCCAGAATCATGGTCTAGTTCACTCACTATATCAAAAACCCACTATGTGTTGAGCAAGACCAACAAGCCACCCTTTCTGGGTGACATGACAATCCACTGTGGCTGGTTACCCATGCAGTTGTATTATGTGAACCAACTCATAAAGTGTATGAGTATGCCATTATTAGTATGTCATTATGTTGGTATAATGGCATACTAAATAGACTAATACTGTTTTTAACTGGCAATGAAGCTTTGGGGAAGAATAGATGAGAGTCTTAAATCCCCCAAAGTTGTATGGAACATGTGCATAGCCTACAATAATCACCAATATTCTTTACGGGACATCAGTGGAACCTCAAGTTACACAAAACTCCATATAGTTAGAAAGCATGAAAAGCTTTAGGCAACCAAGTCCCTCTAATTCGTTTTGTTTTTGGCTAAAGGTACAATACTCCTAGTTGTATTAGAACTTATCCTTGAAAGAGAGGCAGAATCTAAACATCAGATATTTTAAAATTTTATGTAAATGTCATCAATGAAAATATTGTATTTGTAGAAAAGTACAGATGGGACAGAGTGAGAAATGTCAATGCAGATTTCATTACTAGATACTGTACTTACTTTGCTAAATAACATAGTCTGAATGTAACACAAAACAAGTTCACTCCTAGATTCAGTTAGAAGAGAAGAAATGAGATTCCAATGGTCCCTTAAAGCAGCCTTCCATGCATAAAGGTGCCCTCCAAACATTCTGAACTATAATCTTCATCAGTCCCATCCTGACTGATACATTCCAAAAAATCTGGAAGGTGCTGGACACAAGCAGGTCACTTGAATGAATAACAAACTCACCCTGACATGATTTTTTACAAGCCAGAACCTATCCCATCAGAGTTACATAATGCACAGATTTCCGAGTACAAAATGAATGCATATATTGTCAGTTATAAAAGACATCCAAATGCAGGAACTGTAGCTTTCCTTTCAAAATACATGTAGGTGTGAGGACTTGATCTAAGTCACTGCTTGCATATATTAAGGGCGTTCATTAAAGAATGGTTTATAGAAAAAATCCGTGCAAATAACAAGAGAATATGCCAAAAAGTTCTGTTTGAGGACATTAACTTAATATTACTTCTAGTTTTACCTCCTTATCTGAGGGCTGTTTAAGCATACAGAAGATGCATTAATCATCTCCCTTCCTAATATTTTAAAGAATATCAGAGAAAGGACATAATGCTCCCTAAATTAGTGTTTTGTGGGTGAAGAGCTACTTAATCAGGGTATAGTATATCAGATCTTCCTCTGTTTTGATGTGTTTACAGCCTCATCTTAAGTAAGTTTACTTGAATTCTAGTCTTACTTAGGATCAATTCACACTACCTTAGGAACATAGGAGTTCCTATAGGTCAAGTCACATGCTTGTCACATTTTTGTGTCTAGAAAGCATATATAAACATGCACGCAAGGTTGTTTAGCCTTTGTGCAAGTGATTCATACTAGGAGGCAGCATGCTTGCTTCCTCCTATTTCATTCACAACAAACCCAGGGTTTAAAAACACACACACATTTTTTCTGATGTCTGAACACAATCATAATCTTACAAGCCCAGAAGCCTTAAAACCTGATCTTAGGGATCTTTATAATTTCCAATGAGTTTAAAGGCACCTGCTCCCAAATAAATATGAATAGAACTGCAGTGGTACATCCCAACTGTATGTATTTAATCAGTGCTATGTCCAATTGAGTTACATGGAGTTTTCTCACAAGTAAGTTTACACTGGATTGCAGTCTTCCTTATCTTATCTCCAGGACATGCAATCACCCCTTTACTCTTATTCAAGGATATAAGAGAACATCATTTCCATACTATTCTTTATGAGTCATTATAAATACCCCAGCAATGTGCCCTGAGGCAGTCTGCCCACAGCCTCCAGCAGTAGATGCAGTCAGCCAGGCTAGAAATACCATTCAGAGACAGAGACAGAATGTCTATGCTATGCTGTGAAATCTACAGTACCTCTGGAATGCACAGATCTCCAAAGCCCTTCAGATGTGTTCTTTGTTTCCTTACTCAACAGTGGAGTTCTTGGCTTCGGCCATGATCCTCCCCTACCTGGTAGAAAAAATTATAATACTAAAACCACAGTGCAGTAGAAAGAATGGTCCTTAATATTAATAAAACACATTACTGTATTAATTTTGCTAGCCATATTGACAGCTTTGAAACAGCATTAAAACAGCATTTTATACTTGAAATAAATACACCAACATAACTTGGTGTAATAATAATAAATAGAAATAATAGAATTAGAAAGGGCCAGAGGGCCATCCAGTAAAACCTCCTACCCAGTGCAGGACTCCAAGTTAAATTATCATTTTTAGATGGGCCGCCCAGTTGCATCTTGGATTCCTTTAGTGTGGAAGAGCCCACAACTTCCTTAGGTCATTGGTTCCATTGTTGTACTGCTCTAACAGACAGGAAGTCCTTCCTGATATTCAGCCAGAAGCTGACTTCCTGTATCTTAAGCCTTTTATTCCATGTCCCGCACTCAGGGATGGTCAAAAAGAGATCCTGTCCTTCCTCCTTGTGACAACCCTTCAAGTGCTTGAAAACTGCTATCATATCTCCCTCAGTCTTCTCTTCCCGATACTAAACTTGTCCAGTTCTTTCAAACTCTCTTCACAGGGCTTTTTTTCCAGTCCGCATATCTCTCTTGTTGCCCTCCTCTGAACCCTTTCCAGCTTTCCTCATCTTTTTTAAACTATGGAGTTTAAGAATTATGGAGTAAAACCCTAACCCTAAACTAAAAACCCTAAGCCTAACCCTACATGGTACTCCAGATGAGCCTTAACCAGTGCTGAGTAATGATTATGATTTTTCTTGTTTGCTTTGGCTTGTTTTCACTCTTTTGTAAATATTTCTGGATTTGGTTTAAACATGAAGCAGCATATATTAGTATCAATCAATCAACAGTTACATATGTAAGCAACTCGTTGTCCATATACAAAAGGATTGAGTCATTTATAGCCCTCCAAATGCTTCTGGACTGCAACTTCTCAAAAGCCCTAACCAGCGTAGCCAATGTTGAGGGATGAAGGGAGCTACAGTTCAAAACCATCTGAAGGACCACCCATTTTGCCTACCTGTAACACTGAAGAATAAATATATGGCATAAGCTGGTAAAGTAAAATTTGGTCTTCTTCTCAGTTCTTTAATTAAAAACTTCTACAACAGGCTCTGAATATCACAGGCTCTCAATTAAATGGACATCTGAATTAAGTTTACTTCTCCATGTAGTATTATGGAGACATGGTTCCAATTTTTTTTTAAAATAAATAATATCATCCAAGGTGGCTTCTGTAAATGCTGTGCAGATTTATTCTCTTGCCAGAGCTGAAGACATTTTAGTATTTGATCATAAAATGGTGCCTGCATTGCAGTAAAGAAACATAATTATTAACTAAATAATTGACAACTTTCTGCACTTCTGTGGTACCCTCAAATCTGCAGCCAGCTTCACTCTGCTAAATAATGGTGCGAACTGTTTCTTCCTCAGAAAATATTCTAAGCTGAATCAAACCTTTCAGCTGAAGTGACAGATTAAAATTAGGCAAGTTCTGCCAGGAACATTTTAAAAAAAGCAGGGGGTGGCAGGGAGAAAAGCCCTGTACATTTCCTAGTCAAATCACTTTCTGTTTTGCCAACAGTGACTTCACTTAAACAGAATAATGCCAGTCCTCCTCTCTGTTCTTTGC